GATGAAAAATACAACTTTCCTCTAGTTCCTAAATGTTTCCTCCCACACCCCCATCCCCCACCCCCACACACTATCATGATCCAAATTCTACCTTGCAAGTCTGGCTGGACTGTAGTTTGTACACTGGCACAGATAGGAACTGGAAACACAGGGAATCCAGGGCAGATGATCCCCTCAGGACCAGTGGTGTGAGTGGCGATACTGGGAGGGTAGAGGGAGAGTGGGTAGGAAAGAGGGAACCGATTACAAGGATCTACATGTGACCTCCTCCCTGGGGGATGGACAGCAGAAAAGTGGGTGAGGGGAGACGTCAAACAGTGTAAGATATGACAAAATAGTAATTTATAAATTATCAGGGGTTCATGAGGGAAGGGAGAGTGGGGAGGGAGGAGAATAAAATGAGGACCTGATGCCAGGGGCTTAAGTGGTGAGCAAATGTTTTGAGACTGATGAGGGCAATGAATGTACAAATGTGCTTTACACAACTGATGTATGTATGGATTGTGTTAAGTGTTTTATGAGCCCCTAATAAAACAATTAATATAAATAAATAAACAGGAGATAAGGAAAGGGGGAAAAAAAAGAAATTGCAGGTAAGGAATACTGAATTCAGGAATATAGGAAAGTTTTGATCTTCCCAACCCAGCTTTGTCCTAGACCAAGCCCTGAGATAAAAAGAATAAAATGATAAAAGAAGCACCATACCTTAGTTTTACTCGAGATTCTCAGGTTCATCCTCCTTGAACAGTTTTTTAATGACCTCTTGTGCTATGAAGGCATTTGAGGAGCCATGAACAGCATTGTACAAAACACTGGTCCCATAACGGGCTCGTATTGAGTCTGGGGACAGTAGTTTTGCCTCTTCTGGATCTGAGGGCCCCATGAGTTTTCTCCAATCAGAAATAGCATTCCACTTGGTCAAGATCATGACCACAGTTGGACCTCTGCAAGGAAAGATGCTTTCAGAATATGTAGGGTATTTATAATTTGAGAGATTGCATATGTGGCTACTGGTAGTACCCCAACTTGTACTTTCATCTTGTCAATGAAAGCTTACTATTTTTCAACTTGGGGAAAGCATACATAGATGATTTAGATATTGTCTTTCACCTCCCTTTGACCTCCCTTGAAAGAAGGGCTTGGTACATGGTTGTCCATCAACTATGAACTCCTATCGTGATGGCCTCTGCTGCAGAGAGTAACACGATCAAGGTCACTCTCTTTGGCAGGGTGGTCTACCTGATTTATTGAACGTTAGGAAGGTCTGACCACTTCAGCCAAAGGCAGGACAATTCGGAAGGCCCAATCTAGTTCTGGTCAGTGAGGATTGTTCTGGGCTGCTTTGCAGATTGATTGCCCCCTATTCCTAATCCTGCTTATTTTGCCTCCTTTCCATGGGACATCCTTAATAAATATTTCATACACTAAGCTTTGCTTTCTGGGGACCAGATCAAACAGTGGACATGAAAATGAGTGTTTCTTTTTTATTCCCCTAAGTCTGTTTCTTTTTCATTCCCCTAAGTTTTCTGCAGTTACTGAAAAGTCCCATCCTTCTGGTTATCATACCTAATCACTACTTACATTCAAAGTTTAAAGCATTATTACATATTTTTGGTTCTCTACAATCTTTTGTTTGAACTCTATCAATTTTATCTCTCTAGACACATTGACAAATGTTCCAGAATTCAAAAGGGGTCATAAAGCATAGATAGAAAAGACAATAGAAGGAAATAAACCAGGATAGAGACCGGAAGGGGAAGGAGAAAAGAAAAAGGAGAGGAAAGGAAAGAAGGAGATAGAAAATAAATTAACCCTTGACATTGAGAGGTCATCTCTTCATAAGTGAGAGTATGTGAGAAATTTTTAATTATTTTATGTACTTTCTAATGTTTGTATAACAAATTACCTTTAAAATGCAAAAAATTATGTCAGAAACTTACTCACATAACATTTCCAATACGTTTTTATAAAATTCTTTTGCTTTTATACTTATATAAATGCATTCTGCCAAGTCCTGCTTTATGAGTATTTCCTTTATTTGTGTCACCTCAAACCCAGCATCCTTAATACTCTTCAAGATCTCATCTAGAGAAAACAGATACTTTATTATTATGCAGATTGTTGCTTTATATTCTAATAGATTGGAATAACTAACTTAAGAACAAACTATGCTAAATTTAGTTTTCAAACCACAATTTATGATCAGATGCTTAATTTGTTGATAAAGATGGTCAAACTCTGAAGCCCAACCTTCCAGCAACTACTTGAAATATGTAGTGGGCTCCAACAGCCATTTGTGCTGTGAGGGTACCTACTCTGATACGAGGGATGAAGGTGTGCTGTCATCCCATGCGACAAATATCAAGGGATTTCTGCTAGGTGTTGATTGGAGGGCAGAGCTGACCATGACTTTTCTTTCTGAGCAAGATAGATGTTGTTGAATACATTCAATCAAAGGAATCATGTCAGAACCTTACCAACATGGAACCTCTAGGGCGATGCCTTGTATGTTTCCATGATGCCCTCAAATTGCCTGAGTATGAGTCACTCTTAAACGTTCAAAAAAATGTATGTATGAGCACTCATAAAAAGAAATTAGAGATATGTTTACCATTAGGAGGGCCTCTAACATTAGCTATAAGTCATTAGAAACCTACAAGCCATTGTAAAGTTATTTAGAAAATTTCCTAATTTAGACATAGACACTTAGAAGTGCATGAAGAATAGGGTAAAAACCCTCCAAGTTAAAGTGACTTTGAGAAATGCAGAAAGCGGACCAAGAGTCATCCCATGCAATTAAGAACATATTGACATTAAAATGTATTGTCCCTTTGCCTCCACAGTCAGTGATCCTATGGAAACCATGTTGGGTGATTTGCATTTGTGCCAGTTCAATGACAATTTCTTTTTCTTTTCTCCTTTTCTTCGCTCCACCTCAACTCCCACCTTCCTTTTTGGTCCCTTAGAAGCCAGCCAGCCTTCCCAGCCATGCCTGTCACACCTGCCACCATATTCACTGGCAAATGATAACACTAATTCCAGCATCTCTGGATAGACAACAGATAACAGCCAATCCTTATCCAGCATGTCCTCCCTGCTCTATAGGACCCATGATCAGAGACGCGTGCCTACATTCCTACTTGCTTTAAATCAGAGACAGATGATTTTTTTTAAAAAACATTTTATTAGGGGCTCATACTCAAAACATTTTCTCTCCACTTAACCCCCCGACATTAGGTCCTCATTTTTCCTCTCCCTCCCC